CGTGACCGGCAACGGATCGCAACCCTCAGTGTCACGCCCGCACTGGACCAGGACCGGCAACGGGATCACAACCCTCAGTGTTGCACCCGCACCTCGCTCAGCCAGTGAGCGGGAACCGGTCTGTATGTGGGATCCGAACCCTCGGCAGGAGTGCCGCCGCACCCCCAAGGGGCACACTGTAGCAGTGCGCCACCGGGCTGGCCCCCATTCACAACATTTAATGTAATTATTGATATCGCTGCTAGCAAAGAATCTCAGTTTTCTGGGAATACCTTTATTTCTTTTTCATACTTGAAGGGTAGTTTTGCTGTATATCAAAATCGTGGTTGATAGGTTTTTCCTTTTCAGCATGTTCAATGTGTCATCTCACTGCCTCTGGCCTCCACTGCTTCCACTGAGAAGTCAGCTATTCATAGTACTGTTGATCCCCCATATGTGTTAAAATATTACTCTCTTACTGCTTTCGAGATTATTCTCTTTGTCTTTCAGCAGTTTAATTATAATGTGTCCAGATATAGATCTCTTTTTGTTTATCCTACTTGTAGCTCATTGAGCTACTTGGATCTGTAAATTAATAGGCTTTTAAAATCAAATTTGGGAAGTTCTCAACCATTATTTCTTCAAATATTTTTTTCTATCCCTCTCTCCTCTTCTTCCGAGATTCTTATTACACATTTGTTGACATGGGTCTCTGAGGTTCTGTTCACATTTCTTCAATTTTTAAAAATCTTTGTTTTAGGGCCGGCACGTGGCTCACTCGGGAGAGTGCAGTGCTGATAACACCAAGACCACGGGTTTGGATTCCTATATAGGGATGGCCGGTTAGCTCACTTGGGTGGGCGTGGTGCTGACAACACCAAGTCAAGGTTAAGATCCCCTTACTGGTCATCTTTAAAAAAAAAAAAAAAAAAAACTTTGTTTTTTAGATTGAATAGTTTCCTCTACTCTATCTTCCAGTTCACTTATTCTTTCTTCTCCTATCTCAAACCTGTTGTTGAGTCCCTCTAAAGAATTTCATTTCAATTACTGTACTTTTCAATTCCAGAATTTCCATTTGGTTCTTTTTTTAAAAGAAAAAAATTTTTATCTCTTTATTGAGATTCTGTATTCATTGAGTCTTTCCTTTAATTCTTTGAACTTGNTTCTTTTTTTAAAAGAAAAAATTTTTTATCTCTTTATTGAGATTCTGTATTCATTGAGTCTTTCCTTTAATTCTTTGAACTTGGTTTCCTCCCAGTCTCTGAACATATTTAAATAGCTGCTTTGTAGTCTTTTTTGGCTAAATCCTACATTTGAGAACAGATGCTCAGAGATAGTTCATATTGATCGCTTTTTTCCTGCACATGCATCACATTTTGCTTCCCTGAATGTCTTTAATATTTTATTAAATACTGGACATTTTAGATAATATATGGTAGCAGCTCCAGATTCTGACTTTGCCCACAATGTTGTTTTTATTGTTGTTTTGCTTATTTAGAAGTTTTCCTGGACTAAGTCTATGAAATATGTCTCCCATATAAGGTACAGTTGCTGATGTCTTTACTCAATATTTTTTCTTGTTTTTATTTTTAAGTGTGGTTTCTAGGGGTCATCGCCATGTCTGCATAGCTTAGTGTTCTGGCAAAGACTAGTGAGGAGTTTTGCTCAAACACCTTGAGCCAAAAAGGCTTCTCTCTGCTTCTGACTCTGTGTGTGGGCTGGGGAGCACATTCAAACCTCAGGCTGTTTTCGTGTCTGCCCTGGCTTTTGCTTTCTGCTGGCTCTCTCCCATCTCCTGTGTGTGCATGCAGGCTCTGTTGGCCAGGGATGTGTGATTGTCTTGGGCCTGCTCCATCTCTGCTGCTCATGCACACAGACTAAGTTCAATCTGAAATATATGGAGAGCTATCAAGCCCTTGATGTCTGTCTTAACTCCCGGAATTACCTAGTAAGTCCCCAGCTAGACCACTGGTCCATTACTTGCTCCAAAGAGGACAATCAACTCAAGCTAGTGGAGCTATTGGCCTTTCCTGTTCATTTATCACCAAGTTGGCCACTTTAACTGACAATTCTCCAAACAGAGTGAGCCCCTTCTGGAAGCAGCAACAGGCTGCTGGTTTTCACAGCCTGCCCTGCTCTGATTGAACTATCACACTGACAGCACTGGGGCGGAGGGAATGGGAGAAGCAACAGGCAAGAACATCACAAATTTATTCAGTTTCTACTCAAAGTTTAGCAGTTTTCATAAATAAATGTTTCTCAGTTTGGTGTATGCCTTTTGTCAACTTTCAGAGAGCTGAAATTGATGTTTATGACAGTCTTTTTCCAGCTTTCTAGTTGCTTTTTTGGGAAAGGTTTTGTCAACTTCTTCACTTGGTCATGATGGAAATCAATATCTCAGCCACTCCTTATAGTTGTCTGGAATTGCAAATTTCTAATTCTATTAAAAAGTAGACCATTGGGTGAAAATATCACTGTGAAATCTTATTTTCAAAGAAAAATGTTTGAGTATTAGTATTTTTTATGGAAAAAGCAAAGAAAAAACATAAAAATGATCAAAGATGCAAGTTTAATTATTTCATTAGATTAAATTAATTAAGAAATCTCACTCCTCAGAAGCAGCACCTAGGGCCCTGCAACTTGACTCCAAGACATTAGGGAAATGGAATCCTCCAATGGCAAGAAGTTAGTCCCAAAGCACTTCAGTTAAGGCTGTGCATCCCACCGCTGCTTTTCTGCTCCTCCTGTGTCTTGGTAATTTTCCCACCTCTTTATCTTATGCATCAACTATGGTCATTCACATATACAAAGGCCTTTCTTGAAATAGGCTCTTTTATGAAGGCTATGTTACCCAACTTGGCCGTCTGTCTGTTTTCCTTTCTCTGTCACATTGGTCAGGCTGAGTCCTCTTGGGCAAGTCACTTGAGCTCTGGACACCCTCACAGCCCCCAGGAAGGAAAATAAGAACTGCCCCCTGCATCCAGGAGTGTTTTCCTTTCTCTGTCACATTGGTCAGGCTGAGTCCTCTTGGGCAAGTCACTTGGGCTCTGGACACCCTCACAGCCCCCAGGAAGGAAAATAAGAACTGCCCCCTGCATCCAGGAGTCTAGTCTCAGAGCTAGAGCAGTCTTAGAGATTCTTTGGCAAACCTCTCATTTTCACATGGGTAAATTAAGGCTCAGGGAAATTAAGTGGCCTACTCATGGCCACCTTCCAGGAGCGTGATAAAGATTAAATATGTCATCCTGATAAAATAGGCGGAAGGCCTCGGAAATTATCTGAATGAGTGAAGCATCAAGCTCAGGGCCAGTGACTAGAAATGGTTTCATGAAGATCCAACTTTACACTACCCAAGCTCTGAGAACACTGGACACACAGGCTCTTGAGAGAGATTTTCCCATCCCTCCTCTCCCTCTTACCTTAGCAAAGAAAATCCAGGCTGCACACTGCCCTGGGGCCAGAAGGATTTTTAGCTTCACTGTACTCAACATGAGAAAGAATCCCAAAAATCCACTGGAAAGAGAAAATATTCTTTTGTTAGTGAAGCTTGTCTTCCTCTAACCAATAGCTGTCTAGTTTCTGCTACATTTTACCAGTCAATTTCTAATTATTATGCAACCTCTATCTCATCTGTGATTTCTAGTGACCTCTGGATAAAAATACCAAAAATTAAAAAAAACCAAACAAACCATTAAGCTCTTCTTTTCTAAGGAGCTATGCAATAAGAGCATTTCATTGAAGGTGGGGAGGGGGTTTAGAAATTTGGGAGGTCTCTGGTCTCAGGCTAAATCAAGAAAGAAAAAATTATAACACAGAGGACAATACCTTCCACTTCTTCTCATATTACTTCTGGAGCTTGGTGCTTGCTAAGGTAGAGCTTCAATTTTTTCAAGCAAAACAAACTGGCAGGAAAAGACTTCCAAAGGAAAACTCACCACATGTCCCCTGGGCTCAAGGTAAGAATCTGAAGGGGAGACTTGGCTCCAGTAACCCATGCAGCTGAGGCCAGAGGTCTCCAAACCAGGCCAACCTCCACAGAAGCTATGCTTTGGAAATGATGCCTAAGCACATATGTGTGTACTGAAAGATCCCCACCCCTGGGAGCCTGAGGGTGGGGCAGCATCTTGGGGCTATTCAGAGGCCTGGATCAGCAAGGGCACTGGCACAGCAGTGGGTAGGGATGTAGTGCCTATGCCGGAACCATATTCAAAAGTGTCACCATGTGATCAGAGCCAGAGCAAAGGCAGCTCCCAACTCTTCCTGGCATTTGGAGACAAAACAATTGGGAAGAACTGAGGCAAAGAAAACACAAGAGAGAGAGAGAGAGAGGCTGATTTCTTGCAAATATGACTATGTGCAAGTGGTGGCTTGAGGGACAATTGGGAAGAAGTGAGGCAAAGAAAACACAAGAGAGAGAGAGAGAGAGAGAGGCTGATTTCTTGCAAATATGACTATGTGCAAGTGGTGGCTTGAGTGTGACTTTTACTTGAAATTAAAAATTGAAAAGCAAGAGAAATGACTGTATATTTACCCCAAGCCAGAGAGCCAGGTCATGCAAGCTGTATTTCTTTTGTAACTGCAGAGCCTCAAGAGTCACACTCCACCTGAACTTTATTATAGGCATTGGTGTGAGCTCGACACAAATCATAAACTCTGAGAGGGAAGAGCCCAGTATTGGGCTGCTCTTTGTATTTTCCCCAACAGAGCACAACATGGTGCCTTGGTCATAGTAAGTACTACATAAATGCTTGTCAGGTTGAATTAGAAGCAGGTTGAACTGAATTGAGCACATCTAAGACCAAATTTCACAGAGATGTGTACCTTTACATCATTAGATTAGATCAGTTCATAGCCACATTCTCGGGGCAGGACAGGAGACAGGTATTAGGTTTCCCCTGTGTACATTTCAGCCTGTTTGGCCCTGATAACCTGTGTTTTGCATCTGCAGCCATGGGAGACCAGGCAGCTATGGATTAAGACATCAAGTCACAACCCAAAGTCAAAGCGGCCTGTGTGGGTAGGCAGCAGGCTGGAAATAAAGTGCCCTGGACCACTATTCTTAGCTGTGCTCACTGACCCTCGTAACCTTGACCAAATCCCTCTTTTTCTTGCCTCAGGTTTTGTGTTCTTAAAGTAGGAATATGCATAGCGGTCATCATCCTATTTTACAAAAATCAGAGACTTTTAGAACAGACAGGTTACCTCCTAAGCCCAAAGTCTCACTCTATTAACAAACTGCAGCACATATACAATTAGAACTCAGGTCTCCATGTGTCCTTGACCAGCTAGACAAAGAGTAGGACGTTCCAGGTCCTGTGGCTGTGAGGGTGGGTGGAAAGTGAGGCAGCCAGTGCTCCAGGCCTCCTCTTGCTGGCTTCCACGCCCTGCGTCCAAGGAGGTACCAATGCACAGGGGCCTGTGCAATCCCCCATACCTACTCCCCTCCCAGTCTTTTCATCTCCTATCTACCTGCAGCCAGAGGAAGGGCATGATTCCACGTAACCTACCCACTCAGCAAAGACTCTGGGCTAGGAAAGGCGAGTCCCAGCTTGTGACAGACATGCTTATGGAAGTATCTAGGATTCTTCCCCATGGTTTGACTTGTGTGTCTGTGACTCATTTCTAAATGACACATGGATCTCTGATCTTCCTCCTTCCACGTGCAGCTTTTCTATCCCTTGCTAGGGAAGCAGCTCTGAAAAGCAGAGACAGGATCCCAAGAGTGAAGGAGCCTGGGCACAGGAGACACCCTATTAGTGGGGTCCTCAGGTCATGGCTACTGTTGCTTCCTTCGGGTCTGCTGTCCCAGGACCTTCTGAAAGTGACAATTCTCAGTCTGAGATATGGTCATAGAAGAGCCATTGAAATGACACGGGGAAAACCACCACATTCTTAAAGGGGTTAAGCTTTGTACTGAAGCCAGGGGACAAAATGTAACAGAGAATTAATTCAAATAATAATTTCCAAATTTTTAAAATAAAAACATCTGATTTATCATGTGCATCATGAGAAACCTGCAGATTGAAAGGGGCAGAAATAGAGGCAGAATGTCCCCCCCACAAAGCCAGCACCAATGTGCAGTGAACTGTGCTGCTCTGTTCCAAATAACCAAACAATTGCTGACTGCCCCTGCACCCGGCTTGCCCGTGCTGCCAACAAGCGCGCGGGCACCGGGCAGCACCGAGACCCGAGCCACATAATCCCAGCAAGTGGGCAAGCGGACCAGGCCTAATCAAAGTGACAGGAACTACGAAGATGCATTCTGTCAGTGACTTCCTGAAACTTTTCTAAAAGTGATAAATAAGTCATTTTAAGGCTCATATGCAGAAACAAACTCTATAATACTGACTTTTTTTCTTTTTCTTTTACCCCAACAAACCTGAGGGGCATGATGTACCCCACTCAGAAACAGTACTTAGCCACACATCAGCTTTTTAACTCTCTATCCAAAATCACTGCTTCACAACGTGCCATTTTATATGTATGGGAACAGGTGGTCTGACACAGCAATTTTACATAGCTATTGCTCATTGTTTCTTAACATTTTCAACAAACCTGAGGGGCATGATGTACCCAACTCAGAAACAGTACTTAGCCACACATCAGCTTTTTAACTCTCTGTCCAAAATCACTGCTTCACAAGGTGCCATTTTATATGTGTGGGAACAGGTGGTCTGACACAGCAATTTTACATAGCTATTGCTCATTGTTTCTTAACATTTTATCTACAGTAGACATGAGCAGATAATAGTAATGGTCACCATTTATTAGCCCAGGCAGCATGCTTAGGGCCTTACACATTTTATTTAATAATACAAACAACTGCCCTGTGTTGGTCTATTTTTCCATTTTACAGATGAGAAAGCTAAGGCTTGGGAGAACTTGGTAACTTGGCCTGAAGACCACACAAGCAGCATGCAGCAATCCTGGGGTTCAACCCAGGTCTGGTCTTTTCCCCATACCAGGTACATGCTCTGAGACTGTCCACAGAAGCCTTTCTACTTCTCAGCATAATAAAGTCAAGCAAAGTGGGGATCATGGCAGGAAAAGGGATGCAGGGTAAGTATGAACTTCTGTATATTGAGATGTATCCATCTTCATTAATTGGTCTACATCCTGAGTACTGTCCAAGGCCAAATACTAATGATCACCTTATTGTCTAGACATCTAGTTGTCGGTTGCTCAGAGTCTTAGGGTTCAGTGGAGGTTTTTTGGAAGTTGACTTCAGGAGCAAGACGGAGGCCACAATGGAAGCTGAGAGGGTAAGATTTGTGGCCTAAATCCTCCCTTGAACTGAATCAGTTTCATTAGTTTTATATCTTGAACTTCTGTGTGAGATTTACTTGTAGAGGGGAAAAAAGTGGGGGAATCCTAGCTTTTCAGCAACTTTGAAACCCACTGCCCTGGCTGAGGCACCTCTGCAGGCCAGGGGTCATCGTAGGACGTAAGCTGACCCTGGGTGCCCAAGGGTGTTCAGTACCAACTTACTGGTGCCCGAGCAGGCTGCTTTCCTGCCTGTACCCATTTGCTCCTGCCACTCATTCAGATCACCAGCAATGACCCTGGACATCAAAGAGACAAAGACACAGCTGACAGCACAGAAAACAGACAAATCAGTGAGTTCAAGATTACCTGGCACAGCAGCTGCCATGGAATCTGTAGAAATACAGGAATGGGAAGTCCAGGACGCTGAAGAGATCACCTGAGGGGCACAGAAATGGTGAAACACTGGCCCGCATGACCCCACACACCCAGGACACACAAGACGAGGGTCTTCAGCACAGAAGCCCCCTGCACTGAGCGGCCTGCATTGAATTCACTCTGGCATTCCTAGGGATTCTGTGTTGGCACTGCCTTATGATAATAATAATAATAGCTTGATAATAGTGACCATTTATTGAGAGCATGCCTTGTGCCAGGCCCTATTCTTAAAGCATTATGCATATTATCACTCAATTTTCTTAAGGTTCTGTGGGGTTTGAATTTTAGCTGGAGCTCAGAGAAGTTAAGAGATGTGTCTGAGATTGCACAACTTTTGAAGTGTGGAGCCAGAACGTGAACTCCAGTCAATCCAAACCCTGAGATCTTTCCTCTTCCCCAGGCAGCCATCCCTGAACAAGGAGGCTGTAAAAAAAAAAAGAAACTTTTTAAAGAATCTTTTCTGTGTTATGTCTAAAAAAAGGTCATGAATGTATTCCCCTGACATCTTTTTTCATTTTTGTGTTTAATTACTGTGGAAACAACGCAGGGACCAGATTGACTGTGCATACTCAATTTAGTGTGAGGTCCAAAGGGTGCATTTATTTCTCGTGAAGTAAGTTCATTCTTTTAGTTCCATGTGGTGCAAGAGGAAATAATCACACATATTGGCTGCTTCCCTTTCTGGAATTTGAACTTGGTCACAAACAAGAAGTCAGGAGATTAGAAAGGCAGAAAGCCTTCCAAAAATGTCCAGAGAAAAGGAATTAAACATTTCCACAGCAGATAGCTTAATCCCTTCAAATCTGGGCTTTCTGAGACTCTGGAGAAACGGGCCTTCCATACGCTAGGCCTTGGTCTGTCTCTCATTCTGGGGGGACTGGAGGGAGAGGCTGATTTTCCTAAGTATTCATGATTTACTGGGGTGTAGTGGGACACCCGGACAGCATTTGCATCACCACTGCACCTATTAATCAAGCCATTCAGAACGAAAGACTCGATTGGCTCCTATGTTTCCCTGGAGGCCTAAACATCTCAAATGACTCAACCCTCTATTGGGAAGGAAGGTTCTGAACTCTACTTCCCTGGAGGGTTGTTTCTTATCATGATTGTTATGTTTGTTCATGTCAATTGTGTGTGTGTGTGTGTGTGTGTGTGTGTGTGTGTTTGTGTGTGTGTGTTTACAAGGAGGGTTTCTTGGGATTTGGTTTTCATGCAGCTCCACGGAGGTTAAGAGTTCTCTTTCTGCCATGATTTCACAGAATACCTCTACCATCCAATGTATGTTGGTGAAGGCAATTTAAAAAAGACAACATCTAGTGCATGCAGAGCCCCGACATCTTCTGAAGTCCCTTTCCCCAGAGAAGTGACAGCTCAGGCAACCCTGGGGACCCCAGGCCTATAGAGTGGCCAGAGCCCCTTTTCAGGCAGCTGGAGGAGACGCCATGGGGAATTTGCTCTGTCTCTTTGGCAGCTGTGGGCTCAGAGCCCTTTCCCAATCTCCCTCTCAGTGTGAGAGGGACTGCAGTGCAGTCAGTGTGATAATGAGCAATGGCAGAGAGGGAGGCTGGTTAAATCCAGGACCTGCACACCCCTCCTCTCACACCCAGTCATTCATTAGAAATGCCCCAGGGGGTGAACTGGACTTTGGGATGTGTTGGCAACTTCTATAGCCCAGCCCAGGCTTTGAAGGAGGTCTGAAGAGCAGAGGAGTGGTCAGAGGTAGATTGGGAGGGAGGAAGATAAAAAAAAAATCACGGAATTTACCAGTTAGATAATAACCCCCACCCAAATCCTGAAAACTGATGCTACAAATTATTGAGAGAGAGAATGAGGGAACAAGAGAACAGCCCGATCTTACCTCCGAGCCACTTCTCACCCAGCACTATGCTGACTGCAGCTGCCCCTCCTCCTGGAACGATTGGGTCCTTGTGAGCAGGGGCTTGCTCTTGCTCATCCCCATATCCACTGTGTCAGCACCACCCCCGACACGTAGCAAGCAATACCGAACTGAGAATATCCAAAAGACCTAAACCTCTCTTGCTTTCCCTGAAGATAATGCTCCAGTTTCCAGTTGGCTTCGTCTAGTTGCTACTCTTAGAGACTAGAACGCTCATACACTGCTGGGTGGGAATGTAGGGTACAGTTTCCAGTTGTGCTCTTTGATTTCCAGTTTGCCCCAAATGCTTCCCCTTAGATGCCTTCACCCTGCCTTCCCTTTTACAAAGTGGCTCTTAAGCCGACAGGATGCACAGCAAAGGCTGTAACCAGCAAAGGCCGTAACTGTGCTGTGAATGCCCCTGAAGAGTATTCACAGTGTAGCTGGCCGGCCCCAACCACAGGAGAACTTGACACAGAAGCCTAAAAAATATGTGAAGATGCTCACAAGATAACACTCCTGCACTGCCCAGTGTAAGTGACAAAAGAGCCGTACACATGTTTTGTGGCAGCCACATGAGGCTTATGCAATAAGCCAGAGTTGAGCCTTCATCGGGCTCCACAGTTAAAATTCTGCTGACTCGGACTGAGGGAGTATATCCTACAGCAGGAAACAGCCATGGTGAGAAGTGGGGCACAGTATTACCACATTTGCGACTGATACCTGAACACGAAGAAAATTTCCTCTCACCACATCTTAGCCTAAGAACTGGCAGGGAAGGCAGAGGTCAGTTCCAAAGAGTAATTAGTGCTGCTTGCTTTATCTCACACATGAGCAGCACACACCAGGTAGCCAGATTATTTCTGGGCAGATCCCTGTGGGTCTCCTTCCACCTCTGGTTCCTTGAAATTCTTTCTCTCCCTTGAACACCACAGCAGAGGGCCCCATACAACTATGAGGTGCAAACTTTCCAGCATAGGAAGAATTTCTCTTCTCTGTGACTGCTTAAAACAGTCTGGTGGGAAGGTGCTACTCATCTCAAACACGGTTCCAAGATTCTTGGAGCCTCTACATGAATCATGAGGTCGAAAGGCTGGAGGGGGAGATGGCTCCCACCTGCCAAGAAGCAAACCTTGTGGCAGGGCCTGGGCCCAGGGCAAGGAGAACTGTCTACCTGATCTCTACCACCACTGCCAGTGCACCCCAAAGGTGCATCTACATGAAAGCTCATCTTCCTAGTCACTCATGAATGAGTGAGGGGGGAAGCTCCATGAGGAACACCATCTAGAGACAGTTACACCCCTGCCAGAACAGCTAAGACAAGACTGACAACACCCACGTCAGTACGGATGT